CTCTCACAGGCTGTATGTGTGTTCATGGCTTGAAGTAAAAAAAAACAACAAACCAGCATTTCTGCAAACGCAAATCACCGAGTAATCCAATCCATCCAATCAGTAACAAGGTGTTCAAACTGCATGAACACATTAAACACATTTTATATGATAAACTGTCCACTTTTCCTCTGTTCAGCATACATGAAGACACTGCGCATCTGCTTCAGTTTTACCCAGCATCCTCTCAGCCACGTGGAGTCCGCAGGAGGAACATATGGGTTACGTGATGATGCCGACCTTGGCAGCGAGGCTGTTGATCTTGGTTGCCTCGTTCTTATCATATAATAACCATTCCTCTCACACTCACTCTCAGACACCCAGATGCTTATTTTTCATGCTCTCAGTTACTCTGTTGATCCAGTTTGCTCCCTCGTGTCAAAAGCTCAGACATCAAGCTAAAACTTTTGTTGTTGTTGTTTTCAGACTATTCATTCAAACGTGACCGGCCATGTTCCTCCATCTGTCCTGTCAACCCTGTATCCTCGTCTGTCTTTTGGTCAAATAAAAGGTAGAGAAACTAGAAATTGTTGATTTGATCCAAAACAGGTTGGGCTTACTTTCAGCCCCTGGGAACAGGAAGTTCATATTCATAAATAGCACACTCTATAAATAGGGCCTGTCTGGATTTTGTGTCCACAAATAAATGGTTTTTATGTCCCCAGATCCCTCTCTTGATGAAAGTCACATGATCTGCTAATGTCAGTGGAGAGCAGGGCTTAATCACACCAGCAGGAGCGTGTGTATGTGTGCGCACATGTTTTGGTGAGCCGGTTGAAGGGTGGGTGGGTTCATCTCTTGGGTAGGAAACGTTGGCTGCCGGTGATTTTGTTAGCAGCGGTGGAATGATCTAGATAATACACTTATCCACGGCCCCTCTGGGGGAAGGCGAGCCACCGACATCTGATTAGATTCCACAAAGATAAAAGGATCATGACGAGTCACATGTCTAGTTTATTACTGGGTGACTTTGGGAGTCTGTCCCATAATTCAACATCAGATAATAAAGTGATGACTCACTGTCATGTTTGCAGGCAACTCTATATTAAGCTAGCACCAGGAGCCGGTTAGCTTAGCTTAGCACAAACACTGTAAACAGTGATATCAAACCTGATATTAAAATCAGCACCTCTAAAGCTTACTAACTAAGATCTTATTTATCATTAATTTGTTTAATCAGTAACTTCCTGGAATCTTGTGTGGTTGCCAGGCAACCAGTGGAGAGTCTAAAGGCTAAAACACACTGGTGCAAAACAGCCGCCACTATTATTTTCCATGTGTGACCACCTCACCGGCGGTTGCATGCACACCGGCGCATTTACTTCATGCCACTGTCCTACTTGCAGCTCAGCTTTAATGCGATCAATTTTAGTATGAAAGATGTAAACAGTTGGTCTTCACAGTGGAAAAAGTTCAGGATACAAACCCACTAAATGAGAAGACTATGCATCCTGCTGCAGTGCAGTAATAGCAAAGGCGTATTTGTTATCGAAGCAGATGTTCTGCTACCACAGGCCTGCTGACCAGCTCCAGGAGATTGATGCAGGGCGGCTTGACATGTAGCATTTGTCATATGACGCACTGCTACACCGTAAGAAGTTACTGCGCCCAGCCAGAATATTGTCCGGCACATTATCCCCCTACAAACCATAATGTGTCGAGATATTGTGTTTTAAATAGTGAGATTTTGTTACCTTTGGACAGAGCAGCCTAACCCCTGTTTAAAGTCTTTGAAGATAACCTGCTACTGGCAATAGTTTCATATTTAGGATGTTGTACAGTCATGAAAAAGGTATTGAAGTCTCAAGTTACATGACAATTTAAAAGATACTGTTGTGCAGCTCCATCTTTTCCATACCACAAAATCAAAGATCTTTAATGACCTTGAGATTAAGAGGTGACCCAACAGGCTCACACATTTCCCCTGTACATTTTGTAACAGGCAATAAAATAGAGACAGACACAGGCCATTTTACAGTCAACGCCTTTATTTCACAAAGATGTTTTGGAGAAAATAATAGAGCACCTTCAGTGATGCACAATGACAAATTTGTAGCTGCAGAGCTTTACTGCTCGTTGCAAGACAGACCAAAGAGGGCTGTGTTAAATTTGCAGTCCACACAGGTGCTAGAAAGCATGATTTAAAGGGATTGTGGGAGAGATTTAAGCTCTCGCATTTGAACATTCTATATAACAGCCTTTCTTCCAGATTCATTACAGTTTCTTCTGTAGAAATCCTATTGTTACAAATGTAAATGGTCTCTGCAGAAATTATATCATCCCCGGAAATGTAGAACAAATTGTGGCAGTGAATCTATGGGGCTTTGTAATCTGAGCTTGAAGAAGTGTCAGATTTATGATTTTCTACTATGCTTGAAAAATACTGTGAATTGCTTAACAGAATAAAGATGAATGAATATCTTCATCTAGCATCCACGGGCGCTTTGATATTCAGAGAGGTGGCATTACAAACTGTCATACAGCAGCTGTTTCCTCTCCTGTGCTGATTAATTTGTTCATCCCTCCCTCACGTCATCTCCGTCTCCATTCTTTTGATTCTTATTCCACCAAAACAACATTTAAGTTGCTCCTCTCGGCCTACTGAGCATAAATAAATAAAATAGTGTGAAAAGGTAGAGATGTTTAACCTTTTCTTCTATTTTTCTTCTCAAGAAGAAATCCCCTTTAAATGAACATACAAAGTAAGGATAATCTAATAATAATAAATTATGTTATTTTAGAGAGGGCAACATATTTTCTTGAATAACCAAAAAGAGGCAAAAAGTTACAGCACTTCTGTGTCTAATTTAAAAATGGCTGCCAGACAGAACCAGAGATGGGAACAGAATATAACATTTTTGATGCATAATTTTATAAAGGCAGTGATACAGGCTGAAGGGGGTTTGTGGGTCTCACTAATAGTCTATGACATCCAAGAAAACAGAGAGAGCCTTAGAGAGCCGCGCCTTCTGCACAGGCTTTTCTTCCATCAGGCTTTAATTACTGAGCCAAAGGACTTCTCTAGTTTCAATTCTGAAACTTGTTTTTCTCACAGTCTTTACAACGCTCCCTTCTTTGGGGCTCCGTGGGGACTCCATGTGCGAGAAAGGGTGCTAGGAGCAGAATGGCACTCCATAATTCTACCCCCATTCCCCCACACCCATCTCCTCCACCCCCTTACAGATCTGTGCATGTATCCAGTGGCAATCAAATACACTCAGTGTAATTTGATTTTAATTACAGACTTTGTCACACACTTTAACACAACCGTAGGCAATGTTGGAAAAGCCACATGATCCCGAGGAGTGTACAAACGTGAAAAAAAGCTTTAATAAAAATGCGCCAAACAATTATTCACTGTCACTCTACCCAGTCATGTGTAATGGATAAATGGACAAGCTGGCAACACCACTGAATTGGTAATTTGTTTTTAGTGATGTACTGTTATCATTACATCTGCAGCAGCTGCTGTGATCTTTTCTTCATGAAACCCTCCAGGATTTTGCTTGCTGGAAATCTCCCGTTCAAACTCCATCGCAGTGGGAGAAAAACTCAATAACTGGAACAAATCTACTCTTCAGACCCAACACACCGACAAAGTGTTGCTTTCTGTCACACACCCACATACACTGACACACAAACGCACTCAGTGTTTATCCTGTTGAATCATAACACTGTCAGAGAGACAGATGATATCTGTAACACTCAAAGATAATGCTTTTCATTTCAATTCCCCTCTCAGTTAGGTTTCATTAGTTCCACACAACACCTTCTGAAAGACAATTTGTCTTATACACAATATTCAACAAACCTGAGGGAGAATAGCCGCAATTAATGCAGGGGCTAGCATGAGACAGCAGCAATCAGTTTGTCATAAGCCCCCGTGCAACATTTTTGTTGGGTGTCACAAGCAGACACACACCCTTCTTTTCCTCTTTTGCATTAATAATATAATGGAGGTTGAATAGGTTCAAACACAGGCTTTCAATGCAGTTCCTTCCATGCGCCAACTTAGCAGCAGTCACGGAAGTAATATCCTTAAGAGCTGTCTAGCTGTGGCAAAAATCAGAAATTCTTCAGATGTATAATTTCCTCCTTTTCTGTCTTTCGTGTGAGTGTGAAAAGATTTGACGAGGAACCACATTTTACACATTGTCATTATATTAGTCTTTTGTTCTTCAGATTTCTGAGAAGAATCTACAATGCGATTTACACAAACTAACGTATTTATCATTTATTTAAACGCAAGATGAAATGTTTTCTTTAATAATTGATCTGTGCTCAACATTTGAGGATATCGGGATGTGCAGTGTATCTTGCAGTAGCAATACAATGAGAATTAGAAGTACAGAATATGCACCAAAAAAAGAAAACATCACACGCATATTCCACATTGTTGGTTGTCAATCGGGAGCCCTCAGATTGTTGTTCTATTAAGAAACAGGAACTCCCCCCGATGCGTCACCACCAACACGCTGGCAGTAACATCAAGAGAAAGCGTTGTGGAGAATGGAGAAGGCTCACAGTGTCCTACATTGTAGCAGCTTCTATAATCCGCAGGGGCAGATTTTTTCATTTCCACCTGGACGTCTGCCAATCCAGAGGATTTCTCCACTGTTGACAGCATTACATTGCCCAGATGAGAGGACGTATCCTTCCATGTGTATTATGGTTAGTCCTACAAATAATATGGCAATACCAACTGGACTGACATGTACATCTCTGTTCAAATTTGTGCCACCAGAAATGTCAAAGTAGTGAGCTTTGTTAACCTCCATCAAAGTATGGTTTCCTAATGAAGAAATATCTGACCTGACCATGATCTTGGCTCCGCTCCCCTCTGACTTCATCACTAATGCAGTACAATGATATTTTAATCAAACATGCTTCAACCGTTCCAACAGCTGTTTAGCTATTCCGTCACATTATTGAGATACTGCTTTAATTGTCACACCTCTGGAACTTGTTCACTTTTTTATTGGGTGCAAAAGGACATTCAACCACATGGCAGAAACTTAAATGGACACTGCACACGAAGGTGACTTTAAAACAATGATACCAAACACATTGTTCTTTTTCTTGTGTCCCTCATTGTCTGTGCTGCTTTAAAAGCTGACGAAAAGTTTGAATTGTCCACAAGCAAAAGCACATATGGTTCTCACAAAAAGGCCATACACCATATAAACAAAGCATTTCTATAACTTCTGCATTTTTTTTTTTTTTTACATAATGTGCTGCTAATGGACAAAAATCATGAGCAGAAAAAGCATGAAAAATACACTTTCTACAGGAAAGACATCTCTTGATTTTACATTGAAACATTGTTAACAAAGACACTCAAAAGAGGAACAATCACGACATGTTGGTGACTTATCCAACAAGTCCTTAAAATGTGTTTTAAGTCCCTAAATGTGTTAAAAGTGTGCACCCTCACTTTTATAACATTCTGTGCTGTCCACTAACCTACTGCATCGTATCTGCTTTTTTTCTATTATGTATTCAACTGCATTTTTTAATAACGTCGATAGAAGCTTTTTAATGGCTTTTGACCTAGTGTCTAGTCAGTAAGGAAATTCCACAAGGAGGGAAAAAAAGAAAGTTAATGTCTTTGTTGCCTCTTTTACCTTACGAGGCCCCAGCACCAGGCTTGATATCAGTATTTCACTGTTTACGAAAAACAGCATTGAAACAAATGTCCACCACAACATTAAGGAGTAACATAAATTAAGCTGCAAAAAGCGTCAATTTTATCCACTAAGCGGTGCCAAAATCCACCTATGTTTTTAAAAAATATATATCCATGGATCAAAACTATTTGTCTTGTTCAGTGAGAGGCAACTAAGTCCATCTGATTGAGTGACATTTATAATGTCCACTGAGGGCTGCTCTCATTTGACGTCCCCTCTACAGCAGTGGCTGCTTACTGCTACACTCATTCATAAACACAGATAATTACTACCCAGATGAGGAATTAAGGATTGTTCTTGAAGGTCAGGCCCAGTCCCTGCCCTCACTGGGCACTCAGTCCGCAGCTCTGTCGATACGCCAGTCCCGGGCAGCTGTCCGACATCGCTATTAACCTGAGCAGAGCCAGCCCGTCCATAAAGCTGTTTGGGATATGGCAGCTGCTCAAGGGGCAGAGAGGTATTAAGCGTAGATTTACAAGAATGAAAATGTCCTCCCTCCCTCATAATCTCTGGTCTTTTTACACGCAAGACAAGCCATACGCACATAAACACACACACTCTTACGTAATGTTGTCAGCGCGGCGCATTGCCTTGTTTGGACGCACCACACGCACTCTGTGCATTGACAGAAAGCATGCACTGTCACTTCTGAACTGACTTCCATTCACTGCTCAGGGCTCATGCATAATATTCTGCTGTGTTGTCTCAAAATAATCAACAGCGAGGGTTGTTCGTGTCCACTTTGAACTCACGAGCATCCACCTAATTTCGCTTCTGGTTCGGGGCCTCATTGCTCTTTAAACAGCGAGGAGGCTCGCAGCGTCTGGTACTCTACCATCTCAGGAATAGTGTTCCACAGCACATCAAAGCCTGTTTGAGCTCACATTCACTACGAATACAGTGCAGCATTGTCAGTATAAGGAATGCAACCAAAAAGAGCCACTTTCAAAGAGGTGTCAAATGAAAGCTGATCTACTGAAGAGAAAACACAGAGTGACAGTAGGTCGTATCATTACAGTAGACTGATGCAACAGCATATCTTCTTCAGACGAGCAGGCTAATTTGAAGTCTCCTGTAATATCCTCAGGGTTCAAATTGAATGGAGAACGTGTGAAGTCCAACAAACACAGAGTCTCTGAGACTATGCAGTCAGAGCATATAAATATGTAAAAATGTTGCACTATACCCTTTCCTTTGGGATTTGACTGAAGCAACAGTCAGAATACTTAGCTTCTCGATCCCAGCGGCGATACTCGATTTCCTTGCGTCAGTCCCTTTAAGAATCAAAAACACGATCTTCGCAGATCTCCAGAGCAGCTTTACTCGCACCACCAAACACTTCCACATTTGCATCGATCCAAGGAACCACGTTGCCCGGCATGTAAGCTGAGCAGTTGGCCAGACCCATGATGTCCACAGGCCGCAGTACTCGGTCCCACATGTTGAATTGGCTCAGCTCGCCCACAAAGGCCTGGGTGGCGTCAAAACGGCCTCCAACGATGTCCTTCATAGGGAAACAGAAAATGAAAGTTTACAAGTTAACTTCTAAAGAAGATGTAAACAGACTTTAATTAAAATGAATCAATTCTGTTTGATCAAACTGCCAAACGAGTCTGAATATTTTTCAGTGGCTGCCACTTCAAACTGTCGAAGTGTTGCGCAATCTCAAATATTGTGCAACATGCAGCAATCTCACCTTGTGTGAATGACTTAAACATAGAACACAGCCCTCCTTAGTCTCCAAACTACTGCAGAATGCGTTAATGGCTCTCTGTGGACGCTATTTATACGTCACTGTAAATTTCTTAAGTATATACATAGCGCTGTCATGGAGCTGACAGCTAGAATAATCCGCTAACACAACTCCCAAGGGCACAAAGGTGCAGTTTGGAGGTAGATGAATGAGGTAATGCTGAAAGGGGCACGATAGCGTGAGAAGAGCCTCTCTGCCTCCTCTCCCCTGCTCCCTGCTCTGCGCCTCCGGCACTGAGCTCAGGGGAGAACGCGCGCGCACACACACACACACACACACACACACACACACACACACACACACACACACACACCTGTTCTTTACCACCTAAGCTTTTCTACCAGCTCTCACCTGCTCCTGGCCCAGGATGATCACCCCTCCAGGTTTAATTGGGTGCCAGGGGGCCAGGTTGTCCCCTGTGCCCAGACGCTCGCCATCCTGGTAAGCCTCCCAGAAACCGTCTCTGGTCGTCCAGGTGATGCAGATGTGGTGCCAGCGCCCGTCACTCACTGACAGCGGGAGTTGGGCCACCTGGTTAGGAGTTCAGAGCAAAAGGTGAGTGACATGAGGGCAGGGAGCAAAGAGCAGGGAGCAGGGGGTATGAGGAGGAGAGATAAGTCAAGAGAGGTTGAGATTAATTGCGGCGCGTTAGAAACAAGGACAGCAATTAGAAGGGTTAGGGCTTCAAAGAGACAGCCCTCTGCAGAGAATTCTCCAGATGAGCCAGCGCGACATATAAAATTTAGATTACCCAGGTGACATCAAGGGATAGAACATCCTTCAAAGCAGTCTTGTCGCTAACAGCAAAACAGTGTCCTCTTATGCTTTTACGCTTTGTTCATGGATCAAAGAAAAACAACTGGTTGTTTTACCGACCAATGACATCACAGTCCTCTGAGGATAAAGTGCATCACATGAGATTGTGAGCATGTAACTCATTAGCCTTTTCCGTATGAGCCTACAAAATTACTTCACACTTGTCGCAGATGCAGGTAAACCTTAAAAGATGGGAGGAGACACTGAAAATAAAATTCAAGTCACTTGCAATTACAGATGCAATTGACCCGGTTAAGAACGCCAGGTGGCATCTTAATGCCACTGAAACTACAGGGAACACTGGCAGCTTTATAATAAAGTCTCTCTCAGTTGGAGTAGTCTGTTTAAAGAATCAGGATCTTAAAATGAAAAATAAATTCTTGTCGATTCTTGCAGCACTTCTTAATATATGGCAGCCATGATGATTCGTACACAAAGAGCTTAATATTAAAACACTATATCCACAGGGCATATACTTTAATGAATATATGACTCACTCATCTTTATTTAAATGACTGAAAATCTCATTCTTAAAACATAAAAGGTTTACAGTTATTACAAAGTAGAAATTATTATTTGCCTATAGGCCTTTTTCAAATCAGACTTTTTGACTTGTCATAGCAGGATAGCACAAGTCTAGACTCCGTTTTGTGTTTCATGAAGCCTACATGTACAACACACAGGCCTAGAGCTGGTACCTAGAACAAGTACAGGTGTTAGTAGGTACATCTATTCTTTCTCCTGCTATAAAAAGTCAAAATGTCTGCTGTGAATAAAGCCTATTATTTATTTTACTTATGGTCCAAAGGACATTTTGTTCTTCAGTTCCAAAAGGCTGTAGATAATGTTCTTTAGATACTTGTAAAATGTTTTTAGAGGGTCATAGAAGAAGAAAAGAAGTCAGCAAAATATCTACTTCCAACCAAGAGTGATGAAAGAAAAAAATGATTGCTTGCATGCATGATGCAATATTTTTGAAATAGATAGGACAGATAACTGTCCTAATAAATAACATACGAGTTTTGAATGTTATTTATTAGGACAATTATCTGTCCTATCTATTTCAAAAATATTCTGAACACTTGCCAAATACACTCAATTCTAATGTTGTACGAGACCAGTTGAATCCATTACAGGTTAAACTCCTGGCAGCCACATTTGATTGGAAAACGAGAAATGCCATAAGCACATCTTACTTGATTTGAACATTGGAGAAAAAATCATGACACGTCAAAGATGTTACTTTATAACAATGAAATCCCCTCTCTGCATAGCCACCCACAAATACAAAATACAGACACTGCACTATTTTTAATAGTGTTGAGGCAGCTTTCTGCTTCCTTTTTAGTATGCAGCCAAATCAGCAGCATAAACAATGAGCCCCAGTGGACCCTGTTATCACTGTGAACAAGTTAAACACATGGATGTGCTGCTGCACACACGCTAATCATATTCACAAGTCTTATCTCACTCTCCTCCATCTCGCTCTCTTTTTCTCTGTTGCTTTTTCTTGCTCCATTTCTAGCGCGTCATAACGTTCCTTTTTCCTGGCATCTTCTGATCTCTTACTCCCCTCGCTCTCTTTTCAGCCCTCTATCACCTCCAACACTGCAGCCTGTTCCATTTCCTACCCCTTTCCCCCGTTTTTCTCTCATTCTCTTATCCCTTTCTCCCACCATCTTTCTCTCATCTGTCTGACTCGAACACATGTATAATGCATGGTAAAGGGAAAGCTGTGAGGAGACCTGCCTGTGCCAATAACGCCCAATGTAAACAAGACAGTGGGAAAAAATCCTCTCCAGTGCAGCAACATTTTACCAGAAAATCTCACAAAACCAACATTACACAGCTACAGAAGCAAGTGTGCCATCAGGAAACAGGAAAGTCTAGTACTACTGCCTACATCGACATAACAATTACAATTCTTTTCCTTTTAAGACTAAATTCCATAAAATATTAATTTATGTTTCCACCACTTTGCTTTCTGTTATGTTAATTAAATTCTTGTTAGTTGACTGAAAGCTCGCAGTGAGTGACTTTGTAGCAACAATATAGAGTTGACAGGAACCAAAGAAGATCAGGCCTTCAAATGAGAACACATGGCAGCACAAGTTCTCTAATGAATTACTGTTATTCTTGGGTGTGTGAGGAATGTGGGTCAATGATATTAAATGTTTATAAGGAGCTAAATTAAATATTCAGAGCCGATGGTCAGTGTGTCCTCTCTTAGTTGTGTCATTATTGTGCTCACATGTACATACACTAACTATCTGCTCGTCTCACACCACAGAGCAGGCACAGAACATTCATATTCATGATGTCTTTACATTTAATGAGCGTCATTGCGGATCTGCGTTTACTACCATCACTGCAGCCAGCGGCGTTGCCAGGCAAATAATAAATGATTCTGAGCTTCTGACTCAAGTACATCTTCCCTCGTCAGAAATTAATCAGGGCAGAGTGAAAGAATCAGAGTTGCTCAACAAATAATTAAAGAACACTGAAGCAAGGCGCCAGTTTCACATTATGCACCTACCTTATCATTAACTAGTAGTTCAATGGGGTTGTTCCCCCATTCGATGAGGACTATCTCGTTGGCCTGGCCCGGCACGCCGTAAGAGAATGGGGTTCCTATGCCGGGACTGGCACTGGACTTGAGCCACATACACACAGTGAAGGCGTACATTTCTGGGAGGCTCTTCTTGATGCGTCCGTACAGGTAGTTGGTGCGAAGAGAAAGGGACACCTTGAAATCTTCAGGTGACTTGAAGGCATTATTACCTGTTGATGGATATTGAGTACATATTAAAGTTTCATGTGTTATGACTTGATCTAAACATAAATGTCTTCTTTTTTGTCTTCTTCTGATGATGATGATGATGATGATGGTGATGCTGAAAGCTGCAGCAGGAAGTGGCTGAGGATGGTGACATAAATAAATACATGGAAGGGTGACTTAAGACAAGCAAGAGGAAGACAAGGCTAAAGGTGAGGATCACTTGTAAGAAGCACGTTGGCTGCTAGCAAAGTAAACTTCTGGCAAAGTAAACTTCTGGCAAAGTAAAAATAGATTAGGGTGATGGTAAAGGTTAGCCAGCTGCTTCTAATATCCAGAGGTGAGTCCAGACTGTTTTGACCGGGGTGGCACAAGTGGGACACTGACTAATGCAGGGATTGCATAAAGTATGTGTCTCAGCTTTTCAGTCATTCCCAGTATCTGCAATTCCAGGACTGTTTAGGGACCCCAGTATGCAAAGATTTTCAAATACAAAGCTTGGATTACCATAAAGCAGGCATGTTTTCAAAGGGAATACTTGTGGGTACTCATAGAATCCATTTTCATTTAGATATATTGAGGTCAGAGGTCAAGGGATCCCTTTGAAAATGGCCATGCCAGTTTCTCCATCACCAAAATTTAGCCTAACTTTGGAATTCCTGAGATGCTACCAGTGCCAATGGATGCATTAGATCACCTAGTTTTTTATGATACCTATGATACATGATGGTGTGAGTGGAAGAGGTAAGGATAATGGGATGGCACTAGTCTAATCAGATTTGAGCCAGTGCAAAAACAGGTCATTTTTAACTGTCGGCTAGTATATGAAAGTAATTCTGTTAACCAGTCTGTCATCTGCAAGAGAAAAAACCAATGTGCCATATCAGCTAGCCATGCTAGCAGCTCAGTGAGGCTGTGCTTAGGCACAGTGGTACTTTCAGCTAAATGCTCACATGAGCATGCTAACATGCTGATAAGGCTAGCTTGTTGATATTTAGCAGGTTTATCATTTTCCCCATCTTAGTTGAGTGTACTGGCATTGCTAAAATTAGCAAATTATCGCTTAACACAAAGAACAACTGAGGCTGATAAGATTAGTTTTACAGGTATTTGGTCATAAACCAGAGTACTGGATTCGATTTTAAACTTGACTTGATGATGGTGCTAGATGAAAGGTCAGGGGATAAAAGCTATTACAATTCATCTTCTGAGGACCATGAAGGCTTGTACCAATTGTCATGGCAACCCATTCAATAGCCCATGTCAACCTCATGATAGTATAAGAGGAAAAGTCAGTCACCAAAGTCATTAGGATTGATCCTCTAAGGAACTTGAATATAGGTGGCAAATGTCACAGCAATCCCTTCAACAGACCTTTTTCACAGCTAATTATAAGGTAAATACAGGTGTTAACAATGATACTAATTAAGGGGCCATTCGATTTAGTGTAGCCGAGCCTTTTTCAGTGAGCCAACATGCACAATAGCAATACCCTGACTCTGTTTGACCTGAATGGAATGAAATCTTAATTAGTATAATTGTTAAAACCTGTGTTTACCCTACTATTTCATGTCAAAATGGCTGCTGGGAAAAAGGCAGACAGACAGACATTCCTGGAGCCATGCCGCTAGCATGGCTAAAAATATAAACCTATTATGTTTATTACTTTCGGGGTTTCATACTGGGTCAGTTGTGGCCAAACGCATCACAGCTAACAAATGAGGAGGCTGTTGTTGGTCAGTTAAAGAAAGAGTGTTAATATTGAAAGGACTAAAGGAATAAAGAAATGAAAAAGAAATGGAGCAAACACGGGTGCTAGATCATGTATGGTCAAGAAGGAAGACTCAGAGAGAGAGAGGTTTACTGAAAATTTGAAGAGAAAATTAAAATAAAACAAGAGAAAAGGAGTTACAAAACCCACACACACACACACACACACACCACACACACACACACACACACACACACACACACACACACACACTACTTTGCAGTGTGTATACACCAAGGAAACATGTTGCATATTTTAATGGGATTGAACCAAAATTTTATCCAGAGTATTTGAGGCTTAGCTTCAAATCACCATTTCTGTGACTATATTGTGCAGCTGTAACACTGAATGAAAGGCTCACAATATGGTCTCATGTTGGAAGCAGGGTCCATGAAGAACCCGTCAAACCACTGAACCACAACTCAACACAAAAGAAGAAAAAGAAAGAATATCGTGTAAATAGAAAATGTCTTCTGCCACTATCTCTGAGCTCCTCATGCTGCTCCTCTACAATCTCTGGCTGAAACTTCAGAGGATCATAGGGCGACTCGACTCTATCCCAGTTTCCTTTATTGTAAGCCCAGATCAGGGAGACAACCAGAGCATGTCGCAAATTCATTGTAAGGATATAATTTGTGGAAAAAGCATCACATTTCCACCTGACAAAACACCACACACCTCAGCTTTAAAAGTCACTAAATGAACACCTCTCTGGCACCATCTTGATGTAAATTGAACTTAATAAGGCTCACAAATGTAATATTTATTGTGGGGCTATTGCATGGACAGATTATAATCTACAGGTGGACGTGCTGTCCACCTCCTTTAAATCTTTGGCTAAACCTTGTATCGTCAAACAGCCACTGACGTAATTGACTGATGGGCCTACAGGAAATGTCCAGTGAGTGTTGAGATAATCTTCTTAAATAATTTCCTTTGGGCAAAGATATTTTGTGTTATTTTGACGCCTACCATCAAAGTGATGCCCCGGAGTGTGGACATCCCTCCAATATTTCTGAAACTAATTAAGCATTCAGTGTTGCTTCCCGAGCCTTATTTTCAAGACCAGGAGTTGCTCCGAGAATGGCTCTGAGAAAAACTGTGTTGTGAGGTTTTTCCTTGCATCATCAGAAATTTGTACAGAGATTGACTAATTAGTGCTAAATCTGGCAGACAAAAAAAAAAAAGTCTGGCATTAAATATGGCCAACATTTCACAGCACCCATTGTATCACTTACTTTTCTCAAGCTCGGTGATCCTCTCCAGGAGGGAATTGAGAGTGCTCTCGGTGCGTTGGCGGTGGGCCGCTGTTTCATTGTAGAGCTGGCTCTTCTCCTCCTCCAACTCAGCCACCTTCCGGAGGAGCTGGGTCTCCAGCGCCCCCAGACGCTGCCGCAGCAGCTCCCGCAGCTCCGGTGGCAGGGGAGTCAGTGCCGAGACACTTCCAGCTGACACATTTGTGCTGGGGAGATGCAAACTCTGCTGCTGGGAGGCAGAGTGGGAAAGATTGCAAGGAAGCACAGACAGACAGATAGACAGATAGACAGATAGATAGATAGATAGATAGATAGATAGATAGATAAGGGAGTGACACATACAAACAATGACACAGACATTTAATCCAGTTAATCCTGTGCACTCAAACAGGCATTCAGTCTCCATAAAGACCTAGATTTGCAGTAGATGACTGATCTTATCCACCTTTTAGGTCTAATATCCTTTCAGCAACATTGTTTTTGACTCAGCAATATCAAAATGAAGACAATGTGTCCCGGTGGCAGACTTTGATTGGTGACCTGCCAAACGCTCATGGCTGGGCCGGGTATTAAAGGTAGGCGACGCTATGCACGTGTGACGTCACTCTGAGTTCACACTGGGCGTGAGGGCAGACAGTTTTCGAAGAAAAAGGGGACAACAACCGTACAGGCCCATGTGTCTAGGTGGTGCTTTCATTGTGCAGCCCTCAGATGTTCATTTTCTAAAGCTGTGCTGATGTTTCCCCCGCCGTCTGGGATTCAGGCACTTTGTGACACATTCACAGAGTTTGATTAATCTTTTCCTAACAAAACGGGACCATCTGAATAGCTAAAATGAGAGATTCCCCTGTAATCTGGCACCAAAGGCCGAAGCAAGCAATTGCAAGATCCTGAATGCAACTGTTGAGATATGCAGATGGCTTAGATTAGTGAGAGAGGTCCCACTCCAGGGAGCCATATGCTATCAGAAACACCAGGTTTGCAATAATCATTATGTTAAGCAGATGCAGATCAATAGATATGTGATTAAAATGCAATATAATATGTATCCTCACAGCAGCAGCATATCCTTTGATTTGATCAGGGTATTAGAGCTTCCAATCAAGGAGAGAGGAGGCGGGGGGGTAGAGAGATGGATGGTATCAGCAATGCAGCGTAGTGTATATAGAAATAACCTTGAACTTTAAATAAACAGTATTGTGATTGTTTGTGGTATCAGGGCTGTCAGATGGTGAAAAATGCACTACACTGTTTTTATGACATAAGAGATAAAGCCATGGCTTAAATATCCACCTTCTGCTCTATGTAAATCACTTCCGTATAGGTGACCTCAATATCTGTAGTGATCTCTTAGCCTTGTGGAATGAATGCACACAGCAGAGGTGTGAGCTTCTCCTGGGACTGAACAAAGGCTGGAGAGCTCTCAGGTCAACAGGAATATGAACGACTAAACCATTAAACATTTTGATTCATAAAATGTCAGTGCTCTGGTGCAGGTGAATCTGCATCAGCTGCTATGAATAATTAGTGACATGACTGCAAATAAAAGATTATGTGGAACACACCCACACACACACACGCACACACACACACACACACACACACACACACACACACACACACACACACACGTATTCATTAATTATTCAAGGTTGCTTCTCAAATTCCTGCACCACATTCATGGTTACACCTTTAACAAGATTTTTTGTTGCTCATACCTTATTTATGACTCTTACGCAGCGGGTTTCAGCATCACAGTTATCTTTAACGCGATTAATAACGTATTGATGTGACATATCTATTATGTGACCCTTTGATCTCAGATTCTAGTGAGAGGTCTCCAGCAGCGCAGAGGATTATCAGACGTGTATGCAAAGCTCTATAGTATTACTGGTGAAATGTCGAAGACTTTGCTGGGGCGCATGTAGCTCTAATAACAAAATCCATACCGCAGTTAATTAATGTAACTAATAATGTTAATAAACAAAAGTGATGTACGTTGACGCAGGAGCTGCATGTTTGTGCCGTCTTACCTCCAAGTTCTCCAGCCGACCCTTGAGACTCTGCATGGTCTTGCCCAGCTGGTCTATGGTCTCGCCGGGGTCCCGGGGCAGGTCCCCCATGGTGTTCTTGCCGTACTCCTTCCGTCTGGAGCCCTGACCCCGGGACTTGCCCTGCGACGACTCATCGGCTGCCGCCTCGCAGCGCGCCAGCTTGGAGTTTAGCTCCTTGATGGTCCCTTGCTGGCTCACGATCGTCTCCTTCTGCTGCAGGATGGTCTCTCGGAGCTGGATGATCGTGTTCCGCAGCTCGTCCTCTACAGGGCTGCTGCTCTGAACACGGTTCCCCGTAGGACCGTACCCGCAGCCCGGCTCTGCGCCCGGGGGAATGGCGTTACAAACGAAGCGGCTACCTGTAGCATCCTGGCTTCGCACCGTGCGTCCACTGACCAGGTACAAAAGTCCTACTACTAAAATCAACATCCCGACTATACACAAATTCCAAGTCTTAAACGAAAACAAAGGCACCTAAATTACTGCCTGGACGTTTGAAGTCTCCGGTAAAATAATCAAATAAACTTATTCAAACAGCAACTCTTTAATTCAAGTGGTTGCGCACATCTTTCTATACTCCCAAAGTGTAATAAAAAATACCAAACTTAGTTTATAGTGTAACCATGGAGAAAAACAAATCAGAATCCGCAGTGAAAAATCATAAAATCATACATCCACCAACCACATGGTCGGTCCTGTCTGAAAAAATACAGCAATAAATCTAAATTCTTACTTTCAGCTGGTGGGAACTCGGTCGGAATTTGATAGCTCCTTTACTGGGTGAAAAAAGAAAGTTGTACTGATTTGTTATCTTAAGAGAAAAAATCCACAGAAGCTTGCAGAGAAGTCAGTTTTGCCTGTCTTGCCTCTCCGGTTGGTTGGATTGTCAGTGAGTGGTGCTGAAAAGACAGCGACGCTGCTCAGGCAGATTATTATGGGGAGGTGCGCACTGGCGCTTCCGCTCATCATCTGTGCGCTCCGGTTATTCAGCTTCAGCCTACGTCATCACTTAGTCCCAGTGGGTCATGCTATGGGTATTTCTAATTGACTTTTTATGACCCGTTTCAATGGCTGACGCTAACAGATGTCAAACAAAAACACATAAAGAGTTTGTGCTCCAAGACTGTTGTTGCCTGTTTTTATGGAAGCGGTCAGATAATCTCTGCACTGCTACTGTGAATGAGCCTTATAAGCACCAAACAACGCAGTATTTAACAAAATATACGTACTGATTGATAACTTAACAGCGTTCTATATCCTGTATTCAGGGCAGATGTTGCAGCCTCTGAATTTGTTTGAACTAAATGTCTTTTTCTTCCAACAGGGCACACTTGGCCTAAGGTCAGACTTTAAGAATGAGTAAATCCACAGTTCAAATGGGAAATTTGATGGCGTGACTTGAATTAAAAACCCAATTCCCTGTTGTCTTTTCTCATTCACACACACACACACACACACACACACACACACACACAGGTCAGTGCATGAGAAAAAGGACTCTCATTTCTCTCTCTCTGTGGCACTGGGGAAGTTTTTTACACTTGACTTTTGAAATGACAGTGCTTGTATCTGGCCTTTGATAGAATATTACTTTGAGATATGATGCTGAGCAGATGTATTCAAATTAAAGGCATCATTCAGACTGGTGACATATCAAACCCACGTCTTGCTGTGAAAATATGATGGTTAATGCTGGATGCCATTGACACCAAGGTTACGCTGAATAAAGTCACACGTTGGCTGTAGTTCCATGCTGATGAAGAATAGAAAGCAAAAAAGAAAGTCTTTCTCTTACCTTTTAATTCTAGTGCACTCTGGATGACTCTATTTGGTCTAATAGGTTGCTTTCATTTAAGGTTAGTTCCTTTCTTTTTCTTTCTTTTTTTAAAACTGCTTTTGTAGACACAGTCAATAGCCTGTTTTCCTTCTGCCAGGCTGATCGGGTGCATTATGCTGCTGATGTGAGGACGCAGTGCTGCTGTAATTATTTTATTTGAAATGAACACTTTGTTCATTGCCAAATAGTACTAAGAATAATCCTTGGTGTTTGCTTTAATCTGGCTGGGAGGAGGTTATTCTATAACCATTAGATAACAGTTTTATATGAACAAGTGAAAAAATGGCGTGCCCAATTTCTGGTTCTGCTTGTGTTTGTTGTTCAGTTTGAGTTGCAGTCCAAGTGGGACAAAATGTATCCATCCAAAAAGGCAGGAAAAGTATGTAAAAACTTCACTATGTGACAAACATTTTCTAATATTCAAATCCAGTCCCTACTGACACAAATCTCACCCCGATATTCCGTTTTCATGTGGAAACATGTCAATCCTTCGAAGAAAACAGTGATCTCAAAGCTTTTTCAGGATGGGATCTCTTCTCAAAATAACCCAAAGAGAGAAAACAATATTTTGAAAAAAAAAAACAGAATTCTTTCTGCAGCCAAGTACACAGCAGTGCTGTGCTGTTGCATATGCAAGATGATTTGATGTCATCATTTCTATATATTTAGAAATCTGCAGGCAAATGCTTGTTGGTGGCAGATGAAGCCATTAATCTCTTTCACAACGACAGTATCGCAGCAGGTTTTGTTTGGAGCTCCCTTCATGTTTTGTCAAACTAAGACAAGTGAGCAGGCGTCTGTCAGATACCTGCTAAGAATTGTAGAATATGAAAAACTTCAAAGCCAGGCATTGGCTCAACTCAGATTATGAATCAAGCTCAGCATGGCTGTTATCAAGCACCAGGACATCTTTTTCCAAAACTGCCTCATCAATCTTTATTTCCTCAAGATGTTTCCCTTAATATCTGAAGCAGTAGGACATTGATCGCTCATGCGGGATGCTCACTTAACGTGGTGTGCAGTATTACCATGCTGCCCATCACAGCCGTCATCTCCTATCTGTTCGCAGGGCCTAAGAGCTAAATGTCAGCCTGCATTAATGCAGACTCAGCGTACAATGGGCACACAGTGCAGGGACTGACAGGGAACGGCCGGTGAAGTCACTGCTAAGGAAGGCAGTTTCTAATATGACAGGTCCCCTGGGAGAAGGGACAGACAATCACCATGGAAACCTTATCTCCTGCCTGATTCCCCCCCATCCTCCTCACCCCCATCACCGTGAGCGAGGAGCTGGCAGAGGTGAAGTGGGAGTACTGAAGACTGAGCAGAGATGACAACTTTCACTTCAAAGTTGATGGGATAAAGTTATTTCCCTTTCATGTTGCAACTGGTGAGCGCTGGAGTGAAGTAACTTTACTTTTTTAAGCGCCTCCAGTGAGGGTTAAGTCAGCAGGGATTGAACTCTTATCCTAAGTTGAGTTTCCCATCTAAATTAATTCATTTCAGAGATAGGTTGCCTTGCTTGGCACTTAACACAAGTCAGTCATACAAACAGAGGCACTGATTTACACCCAGTGTTCAAAAAGTAGAAACACTGCTGTATGCTGTAATGAAATGCAATACAGTAACACTGACATAAATTTTGGTTTAAAATGTGTCGCCTCAACTCTGTAGTGTAATTTTAGGATGTATTTTGCTGCATTATTTTCTGGATTGCATTGTATAGTATTCCTCTCAATACCATTCAATCTAATAAACAACACCACAACCACAAACTCTCTGACCCAGTGTCAACATCAATTTAAAAAATGATGTTTCATAACAGGAGAATTTATTACAGTATTGTTTTGTGAAATAGCATTTTTCTTAATTTTGACTTGTACCACAGGCATCTCTAAACTGCACTCCAACTGTACGTAGAATAGCGATGTGATGGTACCACTAGGGCCTGCCTCATCAGACAGCACAGGGAAATAATGTGATGAAAATACAGCTGGTGGATATAGTATGTAAATGTTTATGAGTGCACCCAGAAGGCTAATTTTACACAGCTGGAAGCAGGCTACCCCTCCATCTATGTGGAGCTGAGGTGGGCTGAATGAAACCTGTTTACTGAAAATAACTGCCCACCTGTCACTCAAAGCGACCATGGCCTTAATTATGCATGACTTTAAGCATTAATGTAGGTAAGTTATATAAAAATTCACCTCTCTACAGTTGTCATGAATGAGGAATTTACCTAAAGAGGCCATAACCATGTTTTGTACCAGGCTGTAAACATTATGATTCCCATTATCCAATATTATTATTATTATTATTATTACATATTTTAAAGTTTAACATTTGACATTTTAATATGGGGATTTATAGAGATTAATCACTGCTGCAGCCAGTCTCAAGTGGCTGTTCACTGGATCAGAGATACACTACTATTTTTTAAGGGAATACTCTAAGCTAACACTTAGAGATATAAGGGTTGTCACTTACAACATCCTAAGGATGTTTTTTTTAAGGCATGAGTGGTTTCATGCAACCGGGCAAGGGGTCAATACTTCACATCCTACTAATAATCTTTCACTACCCAGATCATCCTGTGATCATCCCTTACTCACCATTGTGCTAATTTCACTACTGTGGAGTTCCACCTATTGAGTGTGATGTGAGTGCAGTGGATGCTGTGAGCACTCAGAGCCTCTGAGCAGAGCCACACTCACCCCGCATGACACAGTCCCATGGCCGTTTGATCACTCAGCTAGTCACAGTGTCCAGAACACTGAGCATCTCTTCCTGTGTTCTCACCATCCCTCCATCTCTCATCCCTCCATCCCTCCATGTGTGCCACCTGCTGCTGGCTACCTGCTCAGCAGCGTGCTTGTGGCCAACGGTCCTGTGAATCAGAGTCCCTCAGAGCTTAATAACTCCCACACAAGCAAGGACACAGCACACACCCATTTTACACATGGCCACATACAGTACAGTACACATGAACTGTGCATTTGAAAGTGAGCAAGATGGGCACAAAATACATCGGTGCACGTAATAAATGTGAAATCTGTGAGTCAGATTTTGTAATACAGGCTATCACGCACTTCAGTCACGTTTCTGGACACTTGTATATGCATGCACATGCACACACAGCCAAAGAACAAAATATCAAACAAAAGTATGATAGAAAAACACACACACCAACTCACTCATAAAAATAAAATAAAGTGTCAGACATGTTGTCCCTGAAAGTCCCTGAAAACTGAACCAAAAGCCTCACAACAGTGTGTAATGATGTGGCTTTCCAGGAATTGTTTGTTAAAAAATAAATAAATAGAATTGAAAATGGAGGATGTTCTTGTATACAAAAGCTTAGAAAAACAACAAATTCTGAAAATTGCCTATTTGAAATCTTTCTCAGAATTTGCTATTAAATATAAATTTACCATCTAAATATTGTGTATGTTCATTAGAGGGCATTTTACTGAAGTGCTCAGAAATACAACAAATAGGGAAAAAAAGCTCATGACTCAGTATTAAAATATTGAACTGAAGGACACTGTAAGTACTGTCTGAAGTTTACATGGAATACAGTCTCAGAGAATGAAACTAAGTTGTGTTGTTACACTCACATATGACATTCTCTAGTTGATGTAATATATACCCTGCACACCCTCTGCAATAAGGAGGTCAATTTAAACGGTTACAGGGCTCTTCTGCAAACTGTACCACTGCTCATGTAGCATGTTCATAATCAAACTGGCTTGCCAACATTAATGTCGCTTCAGGATGACTCTGCGGGGGAATAATCGCGTTTGGGACACACTCCCTGCCGCTGCTGCCACTATATAGTGACTCCTTCCATTCCACACATCTGCTGTCGGCCTCCAACACCACTTCAAGCCAGAAGAATATCCTGAGCCGATGTCTTGGCTTTGTTCAGTTGGTGTTTGTGTATTTGGCAATATGCTGCTGGCTGCTTTATTGGTCTGCTGCAGATCTGCTTGTAGGCGATGTCTTGGCATCTGCTGGCTGCTAATCTCTGCTCTTATGCTGCTGCTGTCTACCTATGTGTGTGTATTGGTATTAATTGTAAATTCATTACCCATAGCACCTGAGCTTATTTTTCTTTTTGAT